CTTTCTGTGCAGACTTTCTCATATACCTTTTCAGAATAACTTTGATAACCAAGAATACCGTGTCAGAACCAAAATTTCTATGTAGACTTTTGGTCGTTTCCTCCTTAGGAACAAACCGTTATTTTAAGTAAATATTTTAATACTTTTTTTGAATAGTTGTCTTTTAATGCAGACTTTAGGTAGTGACCTGCTACAACTTTTCGTTATATTCGGTAAAAACATGTATGCCTTGTCAGAACCAACATTTTTTTCTCACAAATAGATAAAAGTATTCTAATCCAAGCAACTGTTTTACACATATGATCAGTATAACTAAAATTATATTTATACGTTATATCGCTTCTTTTGTTACCGTTTGATATATTAATGAATTATATGTTAGCTCGGCTACACAAAATGTTGTTTGAATAATTTTCATTGATTGAATAATGCACACTTTTATTGTGATTGGGGTAAAACTCAATGTCACCTAGCTGTGGTATCCATTGACATTAAAATTTAAAAACAAAATATTTTCTACTGTTAGTTCAGGGGACAACACGGAAAAGCCCCTGAAAGGAATTGGAAGAGAAGGTGAGAAGATACTGAAAGAAATTCAAAAGAAACATATTCATGAATGAATATTTGGAAGTGACCCAATGGCAATTTGAAAAAAATGAAATAAAAATCACTACTTTCATTTCCGGGGGCATCGCTCGCAAATTCGCAAACTGTTGAAGAATACTCTAAATCTTGTACTGAGTAAATTACAAACTATACACTACACAATACATTATACAATACAATACAATGTGTGTTTGTTCCAATTAAGGTTCCCTAGGGAGCAGTGACAACGATATCGAACGGGTGTTTCATGTATCATCCGTGTCAGCTAGTGTGGGGTATCAATACATATTATGTATTTTGATAAAAATAAGAGAGCTATATCATATTGAAATTGAGCTATTTAATGTTGGGGTTATCTATCTTTGATGTTTTTACATGTCTCCTGTTTTTCTAAATAACTTAAATCTATATTTGTAAAATTACAATAGTTTATCGGCTGCTTATTTCACTTAAATACTAATTTGTAATTCATATAAAATTTTAATATATAGCTTATATAACTTCACATGGTAAAGTAATCACCACGTAGACATTTTTATTACGCCGGCTCTGTTAATGCAAACAACTTTAATGTTTTATTTCAGGGTCGTTGTTATCTGTCTTAATTTTACGGGAGTGAGATGTCAATCAAAGACATATCTGCGCAAGACTTATATTGGTTCTGAGAACGTACTCCGGTTCTGCACAAGTAATGGTTCTGGGGAAGTGCACCGCTGCCGTACCCTGATCGCTCTCGTTATATTCGGGAAGCACTAATGACAGGACGATTGCCCGGATAGTGACAGGACGATTGACCGGATGAGATATAAATAGTCATAACTTTTTTGTTATTCGGTAGATTTTTTTAATATTTGTAGACCTTAGAGATATTAAACTATACTTTATGAAAATAAAACAAAATAAGTGAAAAAAAATATTTTTGAGCAAATAAAGTTGACCGGACGGGTTTCACACTCGCCGATACACGCTATACATATATTCATTTGGTCGAAAACAAGTGTTAATATCTTTTTTGTTTTACAATATTTGTCGATGAAATTAAGGAATCTGTGAGAATAATAAATATATAATACGAAAATATAAACTTTATAGTAAACAAAAATGTTTTTCTGCAAAAAAAGTTGACCGGACGGTATTGACATTCGCCGATGTACGCGTTAATTATATTGAACTGATCGACAAAAAGTGTTTATATTTTTTTTGTTTTACAATATTTTTACATGAAACTAAGAAATCTACGAGATCAATAAATATATGATATGAAAATATAAAATTTATAGTAAAAAACATTGTTTTTCTTCAAAATAAGTTGACCGGACGGAACTAACATTCGCCCATATATGCCATGAATATATTGAACTGATCGACACAAGTGTTAATATCTCTTCTTTTTTTTACAATATCTGTCCATGAAATTAAGGAATCTTGGAGATTAAAAAATATATTATACGAAATTTTAATCTTTATAGTAAAAAAAAATGTTTTCTTCAAACAAAGTTGGCTGGACGGAATTAACATTCGCCGATATATGCTTTAAATATATTGAACTGATCGACACACGTGTAAATATCTCTTCTTTTTTCTATAATATCTGTCCATGAAATAAATGAATCTATGAGATTAGTATATGTAAGAGAATGATAATCCCTTTCTTCATGATTAAGTACGAGCGTTAGCGAGTACTAATCATGAAGTAAGGGATTATCATTCTCTTACAAACTTAGAATATTGTAAAGTGCTCAAGGCTCAAATGATCTATTCAAGAATTAGTTTCATTGTCAGTGCAATGTTTATAATTGATGCATGACTTCCTTTTTCGGCATGTCATTTATGGATTAGTTTGAGTGATGTAAGGACTTTCTTATCATTTGGGATATATTTTTAAAAAAAAATCCGTTATAAATATTAGGTGACACAACAGTAGAAAGAAAAGTAGGAATTGTATATGGTTCCTGGTTGTGAGTATGAATGTAAATCATGTAATATTTTAGTGAGGAATTATCCTATTTTTTTATTTTACAGTTTAAATCATTTAATGCATTTGAGTTACAACTAAATTTTATTTCACAGCCAATATTTTGGTACGGCTTCTTACATCAAATACTATTTCATTATGTCAGGGAAAAGTTCAAAAATAATGCCTTTAAAGGTTTTTAATATGTTCAAAATTAAATTCCTGTTTTTTTTTGTTTTTTTTTTTATTTATCGGAATATTAGAAATAACTATTCTTCCCAACCGCTAATCAAGTTATCAAAGTTGGAAAGATAAAGATTTAGGTTTTTTTTTATCTGAAAGAATTTTTTTTCTTTTTTTGCATTGCTTTGGTATTGTTTCATATTTTAGTAATTTAAAGTTATTAATATTTCATAATAACATTCACGGTACCAATTTTACTGCACCAGTAAACTTCAACTTATTTTGAGATTTTTGTTTATTTCACAATTCAACTTTTAGTCAGTTCTAATCACTGTGTGATAAATCCTTTCAATCTGATAAATGTGCTTCGGGGCAGTTGTAACTCATATATATAGAAACTCTTTGTTTGGAACTGTAAATATACCCAAATAATAGGATAATCCCTTACTAAGAACATGATTTACATTCATTCTTCACAATTAAGAGGCATCCAATCCTACAATTTCATTGGTCGAGAGCACTTTGCTATATTCTAAATAAATATATTATACGAAAATAAAAACTTTGGGCCCAAAATGTTGATTTGACGGTGAGTTCACCACGGCACACTAGAAGTACTTATATTTAATTAGATTAATCTAATTTTGACACTTGTCGTAATCACTAATCAAGCCAAATAACATGTCATTAAAGTTTTCACACCTGAGACATCAAATACATTTAATTGAATTACCTTATATAATCAGTTGGCAATTAGAATCGAATCAAAGAATAAAAATATCAAAATGGACAGTGGGTCAATTGTCTATATGTATACAGAGTGTATTACATCAAACAGAAATAGTAGATATTTTAATAAAACCTGAAACATGTCGTACATCGAATGTTCCCCCTTATAAGCCAAAGGCAAACGAAGTTTACTTGTTTCAAACTGGGGCAGATGATTGGAAATGTGACCAATATCTGTGGATAAATAATGATACAAAATCAGTCACCATTGGTAATGATGTTCTTAAAAAACATTTTTACAAAATCCGATTACCAGGAACAACAGACAATACAAACGGTAGAAAAAGACCAGTTGGTTCTTTACAGTTTAAGAAAACTGCATATAGTTTCAAAAGTAACAAAAGCTTAATACTTGTGCATTATGAGGGAGATGAAACGGTGTATGTACCCGTTGGACATGGGAACAGCAAAAAGTCACATCCCCCTGAGTATACACGCACTGCTCCTTCTGTATTAAGAAAAATAGAACATGACATAAAGTCAGGTAACAAAACTGCCATGGATGTTTACAGGGAAAACATATCAAATGGTTCAGTTTCTGGTGAACACCAAGGAGTGTTAAATGCTAGAAATGTAAAACAAGTTGAGAACCTAGTAAGGAAAGTCAATGAGGAAGAAAGACTGAGCAAAGACGGGTGCAAAGACGATATATATAACCTTTTGCTCTTGGCATATCACATGGATCCGTCCAGCCAACTTTTTTTGAAGAAAAATATTTTTTTTACTATAAAGTTTATATTTTCATATCATATATTTATTGATCTCCAAGATTCCTTAATTTCATGAAAAAATATTATAAAACAAAAAAAATATTAACACTTTTTGTCGATCAGTTCAATATATTTAAAGCATATATCGGCGAATGTTAATTCCGTCCGGTCAAATTATTTTGAAGAAAAACAATTTATTTTACTATAAAATTTATATTTTCATATCACATATAAATTGATCTCACATATTTCTTAGTTTCATGTAAAAATATTGTAAAACAAAAAAATATAAACACTTTTTGTCGATCAGTTCAATATAATCAACGCGTACATCGGCGAATGTCAATACCGTCCGGTCAACTTTTTTTGCAGAAAAACATTTTTGTTTACTATAAAGTTTATATTTTCGTATTAAATATTTATTATTCTCACAGATTCCTCAATTTCATCGACAAATATTGTAAAACAAAAGAGATATTAACACCTATTGTCGACCAGTTGAATATATGTATAGCGTATATCGGCGAGTGTGAAATCCGTCCGGTCAACTTTATTTGCTCAAAAATATTTTTTTTCATTTATTTTGTTTTATTTTCATAAAATATAGTTTAATATCTCTAAGGTCTACAAATATTAAAAAATCTACCGAATAACAAAAAAGTTATGACTATTTATATCTCATCCGGTCAATCGTCCTGTCACTGTCCGGGCAATCGTCCTGTCATTAGTGCAACCCGTTATATTCCCCGTTTGTTATGCTATCCCAAATAAATCCTGTGCTCAATCCTCAATATTTCTATAGCAGACGTTCGTCACCTTTAGTTTCACTTGAAGGCAAAGTGTGATTTGTAGAGTGCTTATTTAAAGTTCGACCACAATATACCTGGAAACTCGTTGATCAAAAGAGTAAGTACTGACTGGTAGTTGAAATATTTTCCTGGTTCAAACCCGGATACTAAAACTAGTAAGAGTAAGAGTAAGAGACTTTTTAACCATAAATTGATAACAACTTCTTTCATTACCATAAACCTTGATGAGCTAGGTAACACCCCTTATAAAAATACATAAAAAACCTGCACACACCAGCTCATCTTTTCATCAAGCAGTCTCACTAACTAGCAACAAGATGCGAACAGAAGTAAAATTTGGCTACAAGAAGATAAATTTAGCGACAAGAAAGTTTATATTTTTATTAAAAAAATAAATTACAGTTGTTTTTTGTGGGTCCGACGACTAACAGAAAAGAGCGACGACTTACAGAAAAGGTCTAAAAAGTACAGAAAAAGAAATCGATTTTTTTTTTGTAAACAAAAGAGAATACACCTTATCGCTATTTGTCCGCCATTACTGGACATCACACAAGTTCCCGTAAAATTTTGACGTCATAATAGAAAATGTTTGACACCACAATGGAAAAGTGATTGTTGTATGACGTCAAAAGGTCGAGCGGGACAGATTCTCGGGTCAAGCGGGAATAGCGATAAGGTGTATCGAATTGCAAATTCATTTCAAAAAGTCTATGAATTAAAAGATAGTTTCCACAAAAGTTTATAATAAGTTTTGAAACCTTATACTGGGACAGGATCAAAACAGTATAATTTGCAGTAAAATTTTAGTGACTCGTTGCCCATATGTTTTGTCAATTTTGATGACATTCATTTGCAGACACAGCCACTGTGCACCCATTTTTATGACCAAAGCAGAGGACAGAGTCTGTTCATTCACAATCCTTACTAAAGATACAGCAGGGGTTAACTGTTTTTGATAACAAGATTTACAATTACTTGCTTTCACCATTGTAATTTTAAAAAACAGTGAGAAAACAAGCCTTTTTATTAATCCTAAGGTGACGATTATCATGATTAAACCACATGTCACTGTGACATGTAACAAAATTTGACATTTGCTTTTCATTTATTTTTGTTGATTAAATTAGGTCTATTTACAGCAAAATCAATCAAGATATTACTATTTAAAAAATATAATATGCTTGTAATAACAAGATTAAAATCCTTGATAAAAAATATAAATGATAATTTAATCGTACATATATAAAAAAAGAAATATTTCTAAAAACCAAGTTATACTGTTTCCTATTTTTGTGTCCACAATTTCGTATAAAATGTACAATCTAAGTTTGAATTATGGGTTTATTTATCACGAAGAGTTGTTAGCAATATCAAAATTTAGTGTATATATGTATAAAATAAATATATGTATATTCTTTTTGGCTACTTTTCGGTTCTTTTCTGTTCTTTTTGGTCCTTTTTGGTTCTTTTCTGTAAATCATCGCTCTTTTCTGTAAATCATTGGGCTGCCTTTTTGATACCCTATCTAGTTTCAAATTTTGTTGCTATTTAAAATGGCACTGGCAATGATTACCCGCAAAAAGTGACAATAAGAAATAATTATTATTACTGTCAAGACTAATATGCCATTTCAGGATACGGTAGTTAGTTGAATCTATCATGTGACTTCCATCACCATGTGACCAAAATTTAGGCATCGTCACTTCCTGCACATGTTGAGGGAACAGGTGAAAAAGTATGATGCTATACTGTACAAAATCATCGGGAAATTAAAATCTAATTAGTTGGTCAGCCTCCCTTCAGTCATACGGGAATTGAGATTACATACTTAGGGAACACAAATTATTTCTAGACTACCCTGCAGAATGACAATCCTGAAAACTTGAACCTTTAATAGTGCAGCGATACAGGTACACCATCTATCTGGTAAACTGGTAAATGACGTCATAAAGGCGTGCATAATTGACGATCTTTTCCGGTGAAAGACATGATTCAAGAAATAACCTATTGTCGAAATATATTTTTGGACAAGGACCCGATTTCATACAAAAATTGCAGGTAACAATAATATCATTTTTAGCTCACCTTTTCTCATCACTTGGCGTCCGTCGTCTGTCATCCTCTGTCAACGTCGTTAACATTTTGAACTTCTTCTAGAGAACCACTGAATGGAATGAAACTAAATATGGCATGAATGTTCCTTATGAGGTGCTGACCAAGTGTTGTTACTTTGAAGCCAATCCATCATCCAAGATGGCTGCAGCTGGGGACTTAGTTTAACATAGGACCCTATGGGAAATACATACAAATGTCTTCTTTTAGAGAATTGAACCACTGAATGGAATGAAACCAAATATGGCATGAATGTTCCTTATGAGGTGCTGACCAAGTGTTGTTACTTTAGAGCCGATCCATATTACAAGATGGTCGCCAGTAGGGGACTTAGTTTAACATAGGACCCTATGGGAAATACATACAAATGTCTTCTTTTAGAGAACCACTGAATGGAATGAAACAAAACATGGCATAAATGTTCCTTATGAGGTGCTAACCAAGTGTTGTTACTTTGAAGCCAATTTATCATCCAAGATGGCCGCCAGCGGGGGACTTAGTTTAACATAGGACCTATGGGAAATACATACAAATGTCTTCTTTTAGAGAACCACTGAATGGAATGAAACCAAATATGGCATGAATGCTCCTTATGAGGTGCTGACCAAGTGTTGTTACTTTGCAGCCGATCCATCATCCAAGATGGCCGCCAGTGGGTGACTTAGTTTAACATAGGACCCTATGGGAAATACATACAAATGTCTTCTTTTAGAGAACAACTGAATGGAATGAAACCAAACATGGCATGAATGTTCCTTATGAGGTGCTGACCAAGTGTTGTTTCTTTGCAGGCGATCCATCATCCAAGATTGCCGCCTGTAGGGGACTTAGTTTAACATAGGACCCTATGGGAAATACATACAAATGTCTTCTTTTAGAGTACCACTGAATGGAATGAAACCAAACATGGCATGAATGTTCCTTATGAGGTGCTGACCAAGTGTTGCTTCGTTGTTGCTAATTTACTGTTCAAGATGGCCACCAGGATATTTTATTAAATAACGGGACCAATATTAAACCAAATATGGCCTTAATCATTATTTGGGTATCTGTTATGATTTTTATCTATCTTTACATGATATCTTAAACCAAAGTAGAGTCAGTTGAGCGACACAGGCTCTTGAGAGCCTCTAGTTTTGATACCTGCAAATTTTTACTTTTGTAATGTATCTCTTTTTAATAATACAATACTTTAGTATACTATTTCTACTACTGTAGTATTGTACTATTCTATCCAATACTCCAAAAACCAGTACTTTATTGTTACAATTAAACAGAAAATGGATGCAAATTTTAAATAGCAAAAATTTAGAAACTATATAGGACGACAAAAAACAACTGTAATTTATTGATGTATGTACTATAGTAAATAATAAAGCATCACACATTTGAACAATAGATATATGACTGCTACTCATTAAAGTTATAATTATTACAGCAAATAGCATGTTTTCCCATTCAATGGAACGATGGAACATTACTAATTTACGACATTCCTCCTGCATGTACTTACTTATATTCAAATTTCATTTGCATAATTACAAGTTCAAATTTCATATTAGATTTTGCCAACATTTTAGAACATTTATGTTTATCTTATAATTTTTTTTTACTCTCTTTGTCTATGTCTTTCATGACATGATGTCCTTGGGATAATAATTACAGAGCTTAAACAACAGATTGTGACTGTCGCAGAAATTAAAACATTTAAGGAATAACTGAAATATTTTTTCTGTCTATGAAGAAATAACAAAATCAAAAATGTGGTGCACACTGAATAACCCACGTAGCGCGTCAGTTAAAAGTGTGCACCACATTTTTGGGGTTATTTCGAAAAGACAGAAAAAATATTACAGTCATTCCTTATAATTTAATTTTAAATTCCATTTTTAAGCAGTAAATCAAGAAAAAACGTTGATGACGTCATGGTCACATGACAAAATTATGTCTATGAGCTGATAGACATATCACTTTCAGCCAATAAGAAGACGTGTTACATCCAAAATTAAATTATTAAGGAATAAATATAAAACTGCAGGAATAAATATAAAACTGCATGCAAAATGCATTATTTGGGAGTCAGTGTCCAGAATATACAGACATATTACATGTATTATGTGATATAAAATGAACTGAAATTAATGAAATCAAATAAGACGAAAATGTAGCTGAAATGTGAATAAATATACATAATTTTATTATTGAATTTGTTTCTTGGTCACTTGTGAAATTAGTTTTCTTGTCACTTCTTGATGTATCTTGATGGTAAATAGTGAGAACCTTATTAGTTCATACTAAACTACAGCTCTGATGATTTTTACAAGCCTAGGATCTAATTACATTCTTGTTTTTAATGGACAATTTTAATTTGAAGGATACCAGTGATATATGCATATAGATTTTTTAATATGACTTTATTACCTTGTAACAAGACTAAAAACTTGATGGCTAACGACAAGTATAAATATACTTTTTACAACTTGCAAGTATTCTTGGGTAGCTTCATAACCAATTGTTACAACAAATATATTTTATAATGTACATGTAGCAACTTTTTCAGGAAATATGACATGAACATATGATATCATGGTGAATACACCAATTCCCCACAGCTTGAAATCTGAGGCAAAGAAAGCTGCAAAAATACTCAATGATTTTTCTGTACCATCAGCTAAAGCAGGTCCTGATAAACTAATACCAAGTATGTAGTAGAGTAATTGTGTAAGCTAATGTCATTTTGCAGATGCATTCCATGCCCTAATAGCTTATAGTCAAAACTTGTATATTTCCATGTGCGTTAAATTGGTTAAACTGTGGCAGATGCCGCTGACTGGTGCATGGATAATATGATGACTTAAAATAATCAATTTTCTTATATTCGATTTAAAATATTGGTAATTTCACAGTGAACTTATCTGATATAGTAGTCAGAGATAATTCATTACAGATGTCTCAGAATCTAAAAAACGAAATGCAGGTACAACTAAAGTTTATGGCTATGATCATGGCCACAAGCTCTTTCAATTTTACTTTAATTACTGTGTTCATCTAGATGGGTAATGGTAGTTTCTACATGAAAGAGTTGAGAACACTACTTCCAACGTTTTATAGTATATAAATTTGATCAGAGAAAGGACTTGTCTATTTACCATTTAACAGACACCAGGGGCAGATCTAGGATTTTAGGTTTGGGGGGGGGTGCAAACTTAAATTTTTTTGAGGTAAAATTATCGAAATATTCTGTATTAAGCAGAGGACAACCCATGCTATGCAAATTTTAGGGGGCACGCACGCCTGCCATGCCCCCGCCTGAATCCACCCCTGCACACACTATGTTGAAGGTCTTAATGTGACTTTTAGATGAAAGACAGCAATAAAAGTGCTGTTCTTTTGCTTTGTGCTTAGTTAAGTACATGTTGGAACTTTGTGTGATATACTTTCTTTTCCATATCTACTATCTGAAGATATATTTCATCAATTAAAATTAGATAATATAAGAATAAGAAAATTGCTGTTGTGTAGGTATAAAAAAACATGTGTCACTATAATTTCAGGTGGTGTGTTATTAAAAGCCAAAGGTCTTGCTATACTGACTGTGGTAAGAGCTGGTTTCCTGGTAACAGCTAGAGCAGGAAGTGGTATAGTCATAGCCAAACTCAATGATGACTTGGTAGATGCAGGTAGGAATAGTCACTTAAATTTATGGTATACTTAAATCTTTCCAAACTCATTATTCTGGATTACCTTTACGGAATGGCTCAAATCCAAAGGTTTGACTGCCTAGGATGACGTATAAATATTTGAATACTTTAGGAGTTTTACCAAATCAAACTAAATAGAATAGACAAATCCACCTAAAATCAACTTTGTCCGAAGGAGTCGGAACCTTAGTAACCTACTAATTTTTAAACTAAACTTGTTTTACAGAATGGTCAGCACCATCAGCATTAGGCATTGCTGGACTTGGAGGTGGATTTGAGATTGGTGCAGAGGTAAGGTTAAATAATAGTACTTAGTCCCTTTTAGTTTTAATGTTCAAGTTCATATCCAATGAACATCATTCATTTTCCAATAGTTAATGGTGGATAGGATATTTTGTAATCATAATTTTTGCTACATATCCTTTCATGTTAAACAGTGACTGTATGGAAAAACTCAACTATGCTTTAACTTAATTTTTTTTTTTCTATTTTACAGGAGTATATTATTAATATACCTTGCTTAAAAAGATATTTTAAAATTATTTAATTAACTTCTACAGTTTTCAAACAAGTTTTTGAAAAAAAATTGAAGAATATTTGCAACTAAACTATGGACTTGTGAGCATAAGTGTTAGTGATGTTTGTGCTTGTGTAGACTGTTTGATCACAGTTATTAACCATTTGAGGTGGAGTCTTTCCCCTTTTCTTTTTTTTTTCAAAATATTATTGAACCCCCGAATAATATGATATTCAGAATTCATGGTATTAAATCACTAACTATTTTATCTTATTGTTTCTTTTTCATTAAACTAAAATGTGTTACTTTTCCCATTGGAACTGTCCTGTAAAAAAATGTCTTCCTAAAAAATTTAAAGGGAAGTAATCGTTGTTTCAGTGAAAGAAGGAATGTTTTCATTTTAAAAATCTATATATATAAATTGGCAATCAATTCATTAGCACCTTTAAAGCTTAATCTGATACTTTATGCTATTTAAATTTCAGGTTACAGATTTTGTTATATTGTTGATGAGTAGGAGTTCTGTGGATGCTTTTTCAAAGGGAGGTAATTTGACTCTTGGTGGTAATTTGTCCATAGCTGCTGGTCCACTAGGTAGAAACATAGAAGCTGATGTAGCTGTCAGAAGTCCTGCAGCTATATATACATACTCTAAAACAAAAGGATTATTTGCTGGTATTTCTATAGAAGGTAGTGCTCTCATAGAAAGGAAAGATGCAAATAAAAAGTATGTGATTCATTTAAATTATATGTAAAGTAAGTTCAAATAAAAAACTGACAAGTTCTTGAAAGCTTTTAAATTTCAATTTAAAATTTTCAGAGGCTTGAAAATCTTATACAGATTTTGTTTTATTACTCACTAGATACCTTTTTACACTGTACTTGCATGAGTTTTGTACAATAACTTCTGTTTAAATAGTTAACACTGCTTAATACCTTTTTCACATGGAATAACTTATCTTCCGTTGATTATAAATAATGAAATTGAATTTTTAGATTTTATGGACAGGATATTAGGGCATTTCAGATCCTGTCAGGAGAAGTTGATCCTCCTACAGAATGTCTCCCCTTATATCAAGTTCTGGAGAAACACAGAGAGAAAGCCAAACATGAAATGATACTAGCTGCTAAGAGAAAGGCAAACAAAGTGACACAGTCTGTAGGAGAGAAATTTCACGATAGAATTAGTGTAGGTTATTTAAATTTTAGTTTGATTGGTTACATCAAGGCAGATGAAAATGCAAAAAAGTTACCTTTTTGTTGTGATTAATTGTTATATCAAGTGTAGTGGAAGTTGGACTTCATTCCCTGTCGTTCAGTGGGAAAATGCTATTTTTTAACAATTTTTTGCAAGTGGATAAATTTCACAGGATGACATAATTTTCAAAGTGAATCATCTTGTAGATAAAATAGAAAACTGAATAAATTGAGAAATGTGATATACCTCACTAGTATTGAGACTGCAAACCAATATGTTTTCAATTCAATCTGTCCTTTTCTAGATTTAGATATGCCAGTTTCACATGGGAATTTCACATTTTTTTTCAATTATTGGGGCTTGATAATGGCTTTTATTTTACCTCCTCCTTTGTAGGATAAAATTCACATGTAAGCTGAATTAAGCTCAATACATAAGACTAACCCATGACTAACAGAAATGGATTCTTTTTCCATCTATTAAACTTTGTATACATTGATCAATGAAGTTAAGGGGTATTTGTTAATCAGACATCAAACCACAAAAAAAGATAGAACTAAACAAGATCTCTAGATATCCACTTACGGTCAAATTAACCTGCATATAAATTTTTAAAACAGTTTTGAATAAACATTATTATTTTTATTCTTTTGTTTCTTTTTCTTAGAGTTTTAGTTTTAAATCAAAGGAAGAAAAGTCACAACATGACAAAAGCCCTCCACAGCATAGTGTCCATAGAAGTCAAACTGTTGTTGAGAAAAGTTACAAAAAAGATGGAAAGAAGGTGACAACCAAAACAGTCACAAAACGTTTTAGTGCAAGCAGTAAAGGTGAGTATTTGAAGAAGAATACATACATTCAAAAACTTTTTCAACACAATTCCTTTCTTTAACCAATGAACATGATGAAATGAAATTTTATCTTCTCAAAATTAGATATCTAAATAGAATTTCATGTAATTTCTTTTACAAGAAAGTATAACTGAAAAAAAACTTGTTTCTCCAGTATACAGGTTGACTCAGATTAGATTTTTTTTGTGATAGTCTAGTAACATTTTACAAATACTTTCTGTAATATAGTTCACATTTTCAATAAAAGTGAATAACCATTTCAAAATGAAACAACACAATAACAGTTTGTTATGTTGCTATTAATGTTGATATTAAAGTATTTAATTATTACAGCTGAACATGGTACTTCTAAAATAAGAATCAAAATGGAGGGAATGGCAACCACGGCTACTGCCCTTTATAGTTTTCAAGGTCAACTGCCTTGTGACTTGTCATTCAAAGCAGGTAAGATAAGATTATATTTTCTAAATAAAAAAGGCAAAAATTAAAATAGGTAAATTATATGCTATTTAAACAAAAACAAACAAAACAAGATTTGATGATGTAATAATTCAATGATAAAGTCAACCATATGGCAAGATTACAAGCACCTAAATTCTAGAAGAGTTGTCTATGAATTCAACAGATATGATCTTAACACAATTTAAGAGACAGTTAAGACAGATTTTTATATGTATATGATATATGAATTTTTGAATTTACAGGGGCATCATATATATGAGTAAAATATTGTTCTTTAATCCCCTTCAACTATTTCCTAAAGATGTGAATAATCATTAAATAATTTTTATTCTCAGGAGATGTAGTCCAAGTACTTACACAGACAACATCTGATTGTGATTGGTGGGAAGGTGAATGTCATGGCAACATTGGAATATTTCCTTCTAATTATGTCAAGGTCATGTAAAAGTTATGTTGGTGATATTATATATAAAATTGTAAAATGAAAGAACAAAGTAAAAAAAAAACTTGGGTAACAGGTTAAGTTTTTACAACATTTATAAGATGTTTTGAGATGCTTGTAAGACTTTGCCTTTACCACCCAGAATATATTTGATTAATCTGTCTCCAAAGATTTAATATTTTGTACTTTTATATATTAGAAATTGTTTTATACTATATTTTTTTTATGATATCAAATCCTAAATAATTAGTTCTGAGAGAATGTTTATGATCAATAAGCCAGACAAATAAATGACATGCACAGTCATATTTGATCTTTAGGAAATTTTTGACATGTTTCTTTGAAAATACATTTTAAAATATCTGTAATACTCATTATTGCTTTTTGTCCTCCAAATTTGGGTAACATAGACCATCCCTTAAAATTTGACATAAAGAGAAAATGTCTGACGGTGCAATGTAAAAGTTATTGTACCTTCTATGACATCAATAGTTCAAGTGTCACGAAATCTCGGGACAAATCCTAAGTAGCGATAAGATCTATATAAAAGCTTATTCATTTTGGTATTTTTGAAAAAAATGAATAGAAGAGATAACGGGGAAACTGTTGATTAGTGGGCAGCCCAACAACATAATAAAACCAGGAAAGGCTTCTGGAGGTCACCATACAGTCTTCAGCAATTGACAAGCATCTATACCCTATGCCTAAATAACCTTCAGTTTATAGAACCTCATTAGTGTGTCATTTCATTATTAGATCTACATGATATGTATGTTACTTTATTCCAATTGTGTAACTGTCTCGGTGGTAGCATGTTCGCCTCAAGTGTGGGAGATCGTGGGTTCGAACTCTGGCTGGATCAAACCAAAGACTTTAAAATTGGTGATTGCTGCTTCTCTGCTAAGCAAGCAGCATTAAGGAGTAAGAGCAAAGACTGGTCGGCTCAGAGTCAGAATAATGTGTCCAGGTAAGGTGACATGTCTCTTTGCTGACTGTTGCCTTGTGAACTAGCACATTAAAAAGACGGCTCAGCGTGTTGGTCTAGTACAAAGTAGGGGTAATATTTATATTACATTAATATGTTCTCGTCCTGAATATGCATTTTAATTTGCCGCTTCACGTTAAACAGCCATCAATCGTCATCATCCAATTGTGTATATGAAAGATTGAAAAAGTCAAACAATGTTGATCTATATCTGAAATAATCCACCTATGAAAGCCTTCAATAAAGATATTTATATTTTGGAGTGAATACTTTTGTTTTTTTAAAATAATTAAACAATATAAATTTATGATGAAACAAAGACAATTACAATACTCTGGAATCAATATAATTTATGCCTTACAAATGTTTTCCAAAATGTCATGGTTAAGTCAGTTCAGACAAAATATAGTAATTGTAGAATTTAACCAGATGTTTTCATGTGTTTAAACATGTAGTTTGAAAATTTAAGTACACCTTCATTTGAATTTTTACAAACAGTATAAAGAAGGAACTCTTTATTGTCTTACATTCAAATACATTACATATAAAACAGAAGGAAATACTTTACTTTTGAATAATGATTATTTTTTGTTAATTTAACCAAAGAGTCAACATAAGAACACAGTAGGAAGTATCTATCCATGACATTATACATGTATTGTTTATATTAAGTTTGCTGTTGCAAATCGTTCCTCATGACCATTCCATGTTGATGATTTTAGTGTATTTCATTATTCATAATGCCATCATTTTTTTTTACCTCTCTATATAAGTTAATCTACACAATAATATCTATGGCTACACAATATTTATCCTCTTGTAGTTATAAATTATGAGCTCAGTGCAATTGATTAAATAAAAATTGTTTGAATATATATTTTGTTGGTTTGTTTTAATGAATCTCTATGATAGACCAAATAGATATACATAAAAAAGAGACATCTGCTGAATGAATCTGCTGAAAACATTTTATAATGATCTTTCTGTGTAACACAATCAATTTTATCAAAGCAAGTAGTAGAAATAGAAGGTACTAGATGGATCTGAATTTGTCACCATTTTTATACGAACGCAAAAAAAATTTTGTGGTCGTATATTGGTATGACGTCATCGTCGTCGTCCGAAGACACATTAGTTTTCGCACTCTAACTTTAGTTTAAGTGAATGGATCTCAATGAAATTTTACAATAAGGTTCAATACCACAAAAGGAAGGTGGGGATTGATTTTGGGGGTTATGGTACTAACAGTTAAGGAATTAGGGGCCAAAAGGGGCCAAAAATAAGCATTTTTGTAACTTCCAGACATAACTTGTGTGCAAGTGTATGGATCTCTCTGACATTGTACCACAAGGTTCCATATCACAAAGGGAATGCTGGGATTGATATTGGGGGTAATTGCCTCCAAATTTTAGGAATTAGGGGCCAAAAAGGGACAAAAAACAAGCATTTTTCTAGTTTCATGACAATAACTTGTTTGTAAGTGTATGGATCTCTCTGACATTGTACCACAAGGTTCCATATCACAAAGGGAATGCTGGGATTGATATTGGGGGTAATTGCCTCCCAATTTTAGGAATTAGTGGCCAAAAAGGGGCCAAAAACAATCATTTTTCTAGTTTCATGACAATAACTTGTTTGTAAGTGTATGGATCTTTATGAAATTGTACTACAAGGTTCCATATCACAAAGGGAAAGCTGGAATTGAGTTTGGGGGTAATTGCCCAAAAAGTTTAGGAATAAGGGGCTAAAAAGGGGCAAAAAATAAGCATTTTTCTATTTTCCAGTACAATAACTTGTGTTCAAGTGTATGGATCTCTTTGAAATTGTACTGCAAGGTACCATACCACAAAGGGAAGGCTGGGATTGATTTTGGGGGTAATTCCCTCAAAATTTTAGTAATTAGGGGCCATAAAAAGGGGAAAAAAAACAAGCATTTTTATAGTTTTAGGACAATAACTTGTGTGTAAGTGTATGGATCTTTATGAAAGTGTACTGCAAGGTGCCATATCACAAAGGGAAAGCTGGGTTTGAGTTTGGGGGTAATTGCCCTAAACGTTTAGGAATTTGGGGCCAAAAAACAAGCATTTTTTCTAGTTTCCAGACAATAACTTGTGTTCAAGTGTATGGATCTCTCTGAAATTGTACTGCAAGGTACCATACCACAAAGGGAAAGCTGGGATTGAGTTTGGGGGTGATGAATCATAAGGGGGTTCAAAAAATTGGGGGGGGGGGGGGGGTTTCCTTTCTTTTCTTTAAAATTTTCCATTTTAAATTGGTTATTTCTGATTTATATATAAAAGCAAATAATAATGATATGGTTTGAATAGGCATTCATGTGAACCTCCCAACGGGAGTACAATAATCCCGTTTTCAGGGGTCTCCTCCCGACCTCCCGTTGAAGAGGAAAAAATCCCGTGTATGAAATTTTTCATGAATGAAAAATTTCTGCCCAACATATCATCTCAGGCATCTGGTGTAACTGACATTACCTGAAGTTATATTTTACCTGTAAATCAATTAACATGCATAATTATATGGCTTCACTTGTCAGCTTGGGCAGGTCAGGAATAACCACCAATTGGTGGATTATACCTCAATTGACGTATAATCCACCAATTGACATATATTGGTATAGACCAATTGACGTATAATGCAAGTTTTTTGTTATAAAATACTAGTGTGAGATAGGAGCATCATTTTGCAACTTACAACCTATTTTAATACCATTATTGAGTCCTCCCAAAGTTTCAGTTTTGTCAAAGCCTGCTGCATCTCTTGAGAATGCATGTGTACAACAATTCTTTTGTTGAAACATCTGTACTATTGACCATGATTGACTTTTAATAATGAAAGTCAAGTATTAACAAAGAGCTCCATTCACCTGTGGAGTTGTACTCATAATCACATGGCTGCAGACAGTATTGATGTCCATTGACAGGTGATTAGTGGTAAATTTGCCAATCAAGAATTGACAAGATAACAATAGAAGAAGCTGCAATTACAATTATTGATTAAATGCAATAGGTTATGTCACTATACTAAACTAGGAATGTTTGACATGTTTTTATACAATAATATGGTTTTAAGAAAACAATGCTCCATTTTGGTTGAATAATTTGCTTTGAAAAACGAAGAATTATACGTCAATTGGTCTATACCATTATATGTCAATTGGTGGATTATACGTCAATTGAGGTATAATCCACCAATTGGTGGTTATTCCTGACCTGTTGGGTGTCAAACATACTGGTAATCAACGATTTGGCCTCAGGCTAACTGCCATTGTGTAACAAAAACTGTGTATTTATTGGGTTACTTCCCTTGATTTATCCTGTTTTAAGTTACTTCCCTTTTAATAATGAAAATTTTTAAAAGAATATAAATAAAATATAAATTGAACAAATAATCATAAAAGGATGGTAATTAAATGATTTTAAATGTCTAAGGACAATAAATAATAATTTGAAAATTATTTGAGGATTCTATACTTCCTTTCAAGGCTTAAATTGAAATTTATATAATAACTATGACCCTTATATTACAGTTAGAATGATTTTCTGAGTATGCAAATAAAAACTATTTGCAGATAGTTAAACAAATGTTCTGTTTGCAAAGATTGTTTTATAGAATATGAAGTAAAAAATCTAAAGAACATACTGAAAAAAAACAATGTTAGATTGAACATGTAGAATATAAAGATGGAGAAAGTACAAGGGCACTATAAACATAATAAATTGGATGGAAAGTTGAAGAAAACACACTTTAAAAGACCATTTTTACAGCACACGGTTACATTTACAACAAAATTAATGTCGATTAAAAACCTCCTGATCTGAGATCCTAATCTCCTGACCAAAATTTCCCAATCTCCTGATCTGAGTTTCACAGTCCATCACATGTATGAATAGGTAAATTAAAAATTTTTAAGTTCTTAGACCACTTTCATTCTGTGTCAGAAACCTATGCTGTGTCAAATATTTAATTACAATCCAAATTCAGAGCTGTATCAAGCTTGAATGTTGTGTCCATACTTGCCCCAACTGTTCAGGGTGCGACCTCTGCGGTCGTATCAAGCTGCGCCCCAGTGGAGCATTTTATTCTTAAATATAAACAAATGGATTTAGTTAATAGACAACTAAACTAAAGATCTGATGTGAAAATATAACCTCTAAAATTGGTATAACTAGGTTTGAATTCTTTTCATTTAAACTGCTAAATACTATCATATTTATTATATTTTTCTGAGGTAACATTGTTGCCAGGTATCATCATAATGATCAAATTCTGTAAAAAAAAAAAAAGGAGATGTGTTGTGTGATTGCCAATAAAACAACTATCCAGTGAGACCAAAGGACGAGGAAGTAAACAACTATTTGGTACTGTACATCCTTCAACAATGAGCAAACCCAATACCTTATAGTAAGACCCCTGCATGACAAAATTTGAAACAATTCAAAAGAGAAAACAAATGGCCTGATTTATGCCAAAAACAACAAAGAAATAAACAAATAATGCAGACAGCCACCAACAACAACCACTGAATTACAGGCAAATAAAGAAAGTAGCGGGATTAAACATTAAACATGTTTGTGACTTAGCTTAACTCTAATTCTAACCTGGGACAGTTGTGACTTATACTACCTCTTACTTCTATGTCATTTGGTCTCTGGTAGAGAGTTGTCTCATTGGCAATCATACCACATATTATTTTTATATAGATCATTGGTATTAAGAAAGCTGTTGTACTTGCATCACTGCTTTTCAGTTTTTACTGCATTTAATTTATTGTTGTTGGCCAAACATTCAATTGTGATCATTGCATACATATATTGATGAGACGAATTAATGAGTTTTAACAAGCTAAAGGTGAATATAATAGGAAAAAAAGCAGATTATTTTGTCTGCAATTTTAACTAAAGTGTGTTGGTTAATTGCAGGGCATGACTTGCTTTTGAACCCCTTTTCATTATGTCTATGTTCTGTCAATAAGATGGGTTCAAAACGAATTCTTGTGCCTTTGTAGAACATCTTCAAGTAGAGCAGACATGGCTTCATGTATATATACATCTTGTACAGCCAAACTATTGCCAGACTTCTGTGAGATCTATCTGCTTGATGAATATGCCCAGGTAGACATAAATCTGTATTCCCTGTTACCTATACTTTAGACAGTGTCAGTGTTAATGAATCTATGAAACCAAAGCTGTAGCAAGAACTGATAAAACAGTTTGGTAGGATATATTTATCCAGATCAACATAATCAACAATAGTTAGCAATATGGTCCAAGGACACAGTTATCGTCTTTTTGTTGTCTACGAATATAGTCCCTAGTGTGAACAGTGTATAACTTGCTTTTTTTTTATACACTTTCCCAATTTATTTCTTGATATTTTATACATGAAATATTAAGTAAGGGGATGAAATTACATGTTAAAACAATTTGGGTGCTGAATCTTTATGTTAAGTAGTGATTTGGTCCGGTTAAAAAAGGTCAAAAATTAGAATGTCTGAAGCTGTCAAACTGAATTGTAGCCCCCCTTAACACAGAATTGTCAATATTTTGAGTTAGAGCTGGTAGAAGTTTCTATAATTTTGATATTATTTGTATCAATAGTAGTACACTACACTGTAAAAATCTTTTTGAGATAGAGCAGGTGCGATTTTTTTAATTTGAATTTATTGTCTAAAAGAAATGCACTACAAAATAACTGTGTTATCGGGCCATATATAATGTATAATTAAACAGTTTTTCAATTATCTCACTTGTCACAGTATATTGAAGAAAGGTTTCTAAAATCTCCTCCCATATTTATAATAATCATGAATGCTTTGCATTGCATTTCCTTTTTGCCACTATCCTAAGAATGGTTGGTA